AGGATCCTAAGTTGATAAAAAAAATGGATTCAAGCCATTGCATTGACATGTAATACTCGCTTTCATTATTTGTCAACTGCAGCCTTAATGAGCATGGTTTCCATATTTTATGACAGTACGAGCGTAGGAGACTGTAAGCAAATCAGCCACAAACTAAATAAGTCTCAAGAATGGATTGCACTGAATCAAATTCATCAACCAGTCCATAGATTAAGCATACAACCTGGCTTATGGACTTATTCCCACAGCTTCTAGAGTCCACAAAGTCAGTGAGTCCAAACTTTTTCCCTGTGACGAATGAGACATAACTCAGTTAAATGCGGTGAAATTTGAACCTTGAGGAAGACCAAATATTTGAACATTGCCTTGATGGATGGTATATCAACTAATCATGCAACGTTTATAACTAATGAAATTACACCAATAAAGAAAAGGCGGAAACTGAAACAATTATACTTGCCTATTTCATGTTTGTCAGGGTTGATATCCACACCAATGATTCTTTTAGCACCAGCGATCCGTGCACCTTCTGCAACCTAATAACAGCCAATCTGATCATTATGCTCTTGAAAAAAGCCGACTGATATTCATGTGACAAGGACAAGGAAGAGTGCTCTTATTTTCATGATCATGAGATCGTACCGCCAATCCAATAGCTCCCAAGCCAAAGATAGCAACTGTTGATCCCGATTCCACATTCGCTGTTCTCAAGGCAGCACCAACTCCTGATCGTTCAAGTTATATCAATTAGTGAATTCAATTGTTTCAAATAGAAAATTTACGAATCTGAGCCATGATAAAACAGCAAAGGACCATAAGAGTAGAAATCCAAAAAGCTGTATTGACAAAGTCTTGTTCACCACAGATAACTGGATTCCAGTTAATGATTGTGATAAATAAAGCACAAGCTAGAGAATTGCAAGAATCAGCCAAGGAGGCCTTGGCCCAACTGGTTAAGGTTCAGACCCCTAGAATTAGAGATCCTAGGTTGAAATCCCTCCTTTCCTCTCTTAGCTTCTTAAATTCCACCTCTCCCTTGCTAGAAAATTTAACACCCCCCCCCCCACACACACACATACACACAAAATTGCAAGAATCACTGTTACCAGTTGACACTCCACAGCTTAGAAGGCATGCTCTGTTTGGCGGAATTGCAGGATCAATTTTTGTTACACTTGCAACATCCACCACAGTGTACTCACTGAAGCTTGATGTATAAATAAAATGGAACAAAGTCTCTCCTTTGAGATCAGTGAATCTGCTTGTACCGTCTCTAGGCATCATTGAAGCAACATGAAATGGGAATTTTGAACAAAGGTTGCTCTTGTTGGATTGACAGTCCGTGCACTCTGCACAGTCAGGCAAGAATATAGGAAGAACTGTATCTCCCGGGGCCAGCTCATGAACATCCTCCGCAACACTTTCCACAACCCTTGAGTGCAAAGCATCAAAGCAATAGGAAAAGGAATCAGTGATTCATGTGGCTATTGAAGTTAAATACCGACAGCAGAAGGATGCGTCTCACCATGCACAACAACTTATGGCAAAACGGTTACTAGCGACAGCATGAGAAAAGATAAGCAGAAATACTACTATTTCTTTACAGCAAGTGGTAGTACAGAAACACTATTAAAACCACCTCTGAGCGAGGAAGCCAAAATAAGAATAGCAGTGTTAGAAGACTGAGATGGTATCACTTAAAGACCATCAAAGGCGAGCTTCTGCTTATAAAGATGCATTAGGACTTCCATCACTTCAGTTTTTACTTATAAATATTTTAAAAAAAATTAAAGAAGAGCGGCGTGTCATGCCACTAATGGGAGAAATAGTGCCAAACTTGTTATTAAACATAATTCAGGATACGAAGAAGCACCATGAGCTAGTGATGCCTGGAGGAATCCTTCTGAAATTCTAAATGACAGTGTTGAGGTAACCCAGGAACCTCAATTTTGATTTTAATAAATAATCCATCCGCCAAAAAGGAAAAAAAAAATGCATCATCTTTTCTTGCACTCATGTAGTGCAGCGACCTGCTCTCTTTTTGTTTTTCTTCTGCTGAATGGCATCGGAAATGATTTACTTTGCAGACAGAATAAGGCCGGCAGTTAATCTTAAGATCCCAAATCCACACAGCAGAGGGAGAGGGTGTAAAAGGACCAGAACAAGATCATATTCCAACCATTCCTTGAGCATGTGCCAGCAAAATATCACGTCTTTGCAATGGACACGTCCAAAAACACGTAAAAAGGAATAATTTCCGTGAAATTCTCGAAAGAAAAAGAGCTGCATTCCAGAACGAACGTGTTCAATAAATTCCAAGCCAAAATACACTAGCTTGGCCTACTAGGCATGAGCACCACTTTTCTTTTCTTTTTTTGGAAATTTTCTTTGGATTCCTGATTCTCATTTTAGTTCAATAACCAAAAATAGGCAGTCCTGAATGTTCCGTTAAACTCGCAAACTTACCCAACAGCTTCGTGACCCAATATCCTCGGAAAGCACGCAGGGGGGACCTTCAAGACAGGAAACAGAAGTCGGAAATCAAACTCCCTTTTTTTATTTTCATTTTAATTTCCAAAGCAGGAAACCAGACACAAAAGAAATGGGGTGGGGGAGGGGTGGTTGTGGGAGAGCTAGCCAGAAAGATGCAGAGAAGAGGAGCAGAGGAGGATACCTTCAATCTCCAGAAGGTAATATCGCTGAAGCAAAGAGAGGTGCAGATGATTTTAATGCGAACTTCCCGGGATTTAGGAGGGGCCACTATCACTTCCTCTATCACCAGTGGCTCCCCTGCTTCCCTTGCCACTGCAGCTGCACCACCGCCACCACCACCACCACATGTATATAGATATATATTACCGTCAATTCACATACGCATTACTAGTAAGAACTCAGATGTAGCACAACATTTTTGTTTATTAGGTTGGAAAAACACAAAAAACAAAAAGCGTTGACTTGGCAATGCAGTAAGCATCACTCAATCAGTTTATGCACCCATCTCATCTATTGAAATAAAAAGTACTTCCAGCGGTAGTATCAGCTTGAGTTGAGAGATATACCTCTGCATCTTATGGGCTTCCCAGCAGTTCTGCTGAATTCAACTTTTTCGGCGTTCATTGCAATATCCTCGACTGTGTATTGTGGGTGTGATGACTCAACTGTAGAGATGCTCGATTGTTCATTTGATTGCACTATACTATACTATTATATTATGCAGACACATACTAGTGGGAGATGATACCTACAACCTGTGAACAATACGCAAGACAAGGGAGGCGGCCGAATCGTCCGGTAACGGGGGGCGTGCGAATTGGAAGGAATATTCTTTTGATTCAATGCCTTCTCATCTCGGCAGTTTTCACCTCACCACCCACTGGATGGATAGTGTTTTGGTCATTATCCGTCCGAATCAGTAGGCAGAAATTAATAATAATGTCAAATCTACGACAAAATCTTCCAACCAATCTGCCATTTGTCGCGACTATGACCAAAACGCAACGCTACAACAATAACAAGCAACGGACATTTGGCTGGTTAGTTAAGGTGTCAGCAGTACTCAGCTACCAACTCTTACCCTTCTGATTTGTTTCTTTCATCTCTTTTTTTTTTTTTTTGCGGCTGGGTGGTGCCGATAGATAGAGTGAAAACCCTCAAAATAGAGAGTAATTATTGGCTGCTTTTGAAACTTTTGCAAATCTGATGGAGGTGAAATCATTATTACAATCCATGATAGGCAGCAGGCAGGACTAATGGTTTTTATCATTGATGCCAAACTTTGAAAATTCAAGGATCACTCCTGGCTAAAAGTAACTCGCATATATCTCCTATTGTATTATTCAAATCCAGGAAATTGTAACTCGCATATAACTCCTAAAAGTAGAGTAAATTCAATCAAAGCGACAACCAACCCCTTGAAAATTTATTCAATACATTTAACATCGTCACAATTACAGTACGTCTTCAGTCTTCATCTTGTCTAAAACTTATTTTACTGAAGGTAGGCTTGACCGGTGATATCAGTGTCACGATCACCAGAGGAAGGTGGGGGCTTTTTGTAGTGGCTTCATCTGGACCATCTGCACTTTGGGTAGAGCTAGCGGGTGGATTTCCAGTGGGTCTATTGGGCTGGCCCTCTTCTTTTCCGTACAACCCACCACCATATGCTTCCCTCTGAACGGGTTCCATGCCAGAAATATATGGAGGTTGATGCCTCTGGCCCGCCTCCTCCTCCTCCTCCTCCTCATTCTTTCTTGGTTTCTTCTTTTTTTCTCCATTTGCAGCCTCAAATTTTCTGCTCGGGTGACACTGATTTCCTTCCTGCCTACTAAAAATGGGAGTCCACAGATTGATTTTTGTACTGCTTACTACTTTAGTGTGGACTTGACACATATCGTCCTGCACGAAACGTGGAAGAGTCTGGGGTATGGTATACTTAGGGCCGCAAATGAATCGAATCGCTCGCGAGCAGCTCGACTCGAGTTCGATATTGATCGAGTTCGAGCTGGCTCGAATCGAAATCAACTAGAACTCGAGCTTAAAATATTAAGCCATATTTTTTTTATTTTAAGTATATATTTTTTTATATTTTTTTATTTTAAGTATATATTTTTTTATATTTTTTTAATTTTAATAGTAAAATTACATATATATCCTTAATATTTTATTATTTATTAAGAAAAAAATATTATTATTTATTTTTTTAAAAATAAAATAATTATTTTTTATTTTTTTTCGAGCTCGAACTTGAGCTTGAAATTGTCAGCTCGTCGAGTTCGAGTTCGAGTTCGAGTTCAATAAAATTATGTCGAGATTTGACTCGATTAGATCAAAACTCGACTCGATTCGGCTCGTTTGCAACCCTACGGGTATAGCACGTATGGCTTAGAAGGATAGCTTCAAGAGAAAAGGAAGAAACCGTGTAACAACCACCCAAAAAAAAAAGAAGAAGATAATTAGTGGGCAGCTAAAATGCTTGCATTGATTAACTTTCTAAGGTAAATATGAAGGTTAGATTAGATGATTACGAAGATAATTATTGGACAGCTAAAATTGAGAATGGTTGCATTGATTAGCTTTCCAAGCTAAATAAAATACTACTATAAATAAATTTGGGGTGCTTGGAAATTGGGGTACTTATTAAATAATTAATAATGGTGCTTGTGTGATGACTTAGTGACACGCTGGCTGCGCTTTACATATCATGATCTATCAAGTTAACACCCAACTCGATTGGGCCCTTGCTCCTTTCTTCTTCTTCTTCCTTTTAACCAATCCATCGATCGCCAACTGCCAGAATATTTTTTGACAGAAGCTAAGTATTGTGTTAGTATATTCTGGTCTTTTCTGTTAAATTTTTCTGTTTTTATTTTCTGTTAATTAGTGACTGCTAGCTACAACTTAGAAAGAACCAGCCTGCCTCCAACAAGCAATACCTTGTAGTGTGGTAAGTCGTAATTACCTGATGAATTCGACCAAACCAATCCACAGTCCAGAGTTCAAACCAAAAGTTTCGATAACTCCAACGTTGAACTGAAAATTAAGAAGCCAAATCTGGGTGGCAGACTTTAGGGTCTGTTTAATAACATACAAAGGTGCTGAAATTGAATCTTTTCAGACATTCAGATGTTTTGAGTGTTTGATAAATGAAAATTCATCTGCTGAATTTGTTAAGCAGTGCTGAACTTGTGTGTATTTTTTTCAGCACAAAAATCCTAACTAAATGCTTAATTCTGATAAGAATCAATAGAATTACTTCAACTTTTTTATCTTATCTACCAAATCTACCTTTTTTTTAGTGTAAGCAGGAGGATTCGAACCTGAGACCTCTTGCTTACACTCCCTCCCCCCCTCCCATCTACCAAATCTACCCTTATTTATTAATTATGTTCAAAATTCTTATCTAATTAAACAATCTGATACTCTCTAACTAACGGTTTTTAGTTTCAATTTTCTTTCTTTTTAATGACTTTCACATCTTTTCCATACTTCTCATATAATATATTTCATCTTTTATATTAATTTGATTTAAAAATAAATATTGTCATTTTCATACCTAATAATTTTAAGTTAATTAAATCATAGGTTCTATTTCTTTTTTAAATGAAAATATATAAGGGCTAAATTGTCAAATTAAACTTATTAAGCATTCAGTTATAAATATTTAAAATTCGGACATTCATATATTTCTTTTCAATATTTAAAATTCAGCAAATTAATTATTTCAGTATTCAGATTCAATTTTATTAAACGAAACCTTAAATTAATTATGTGAACCTTTAATCCAAATCTTTGCCATAGATAAAAGGGATAATTTCAGATACCTCCCCTGAGGTTTCTGACAGTCTCACTCTCCTCCCTTGTGGTTTGAAAAATATCACAAACCTCCCCTGTCAGAATTTAGGTCTCATTTCTTACCTCATCATGGCCAAAAAAACTTAAATACCCTCAAAAGTCAGCTAATGTTTCGTGATTATCAGGACAAATACATTCCAACTCACGTAATTATTTTTTTCTACGCTCTATCTAATCTCCCTTTTACATGTATACATAGTCAAATAACTAAACCTAACATGATCTACACTTTTTTAACACCTAGCCATTTCAAATTTATGCGTACCATTACACTACCTTTTATAAATATATACAGTCAAGTAACTAACATCTAATATAATGTATATATTTGTAAATTGATTGTACCTAATAGATCACCCCGTGTAAGATGTTTATAGGCAAATTAATATTAGTCATATAGATAAAATTACATACCCACTGCAGCTTGTAAGGAGATACACAAGTGGGTCAAAACACCATTAACCATTCCAAATGTATACATTCCACTGCACTATGCATATTGCTGCGATGACTAATTGCAATATGCATGTGAACAAATAACTGTATGTTCAATAATTTCTATGCATCGTACTTGGTCGATAACACGGTGTACATTATTTCAACCAGATTGTACATTCACTAAGTATTTATATACATGCTACTTATTGAAATAAACTACCTCTCTACTAAATATTTAATGCACTCTCATAAGCACTAATGGTTGATTTAATATGCAATTGGAACAAATAACCATATAGTAAAAGCTTTGGATATAATATTTTTGTATCTGAAATTATCCCTTTTTCTAATTTATTTTTGGTTTTTATTAGTTTTCATTATTTCACTAATATAACTTGTACACTTATCTCAGGAGCATTTATGGAAACAAAATTCCCTCTCTTTCCTGAAAATACTTTTGTATGTTCACTTTTGACATCATGGGCTGATTTTGTTATAAAATCCTAACCTCAGGGGAGGTTTGTGATATTTTTAAAACCACAGGAGAGGAGAGTGAGACTGTCAGAAACCTCGAGGTTTCTGAAATTATCCCTAGATAAAATGGTAATGATGCTAATGCACGTGGCGTATTCCCTTTTCATTTGCCGTTCGGCCAGAACTTACTTAAGGTGAGGGAACACAAAAAGTAATGAATTAAGCGGCGCCCTTTCCTTCCTGTACTAAGCATAAACAGATCATCATCCACATGCAGATGCAGCAGCGTGACAAGTCCCATTTAAGTTAGCTGCTGCCAAGATGTCCCAACCAGCTGGATTTATTCGCGGATCCAGTCCCCTGCTGTCCACGGCCAAAACACAAAATACCACGACTTCCCCGGTTCCCCCCAAGCGCCCTGCCCCCTCGTGCGTCTCTAATTTATTTCCCTAACCGCGTAATTGTCTTCCCTTTATAAACCTCCCCACCCCACACCTCTATCTCTCGTTCACTCGCAGAACAGAAACTCAGCAAACCAAAATGCCCTCTAAAATGGTGGCCAACTTCAGAAGATCCCTTTCATTTCCAAACCAACCGGGCTCTTCTTCTTCTTCTTCTTCTTCCCCAAAATTGCCCAAAAAGGCCTACCACGTTAGATCTACCAGCCTTCCCTGTCGATCGCACCCCTTGGTTTCTCAGCTCAGAGATGAGATCAATGAGCTCAAATCATGGGCATCTTCTTCTAAACCCGATAACCACCGCACCTCAGCCTGGCTCTGTGAGGGCTTGAGCCAGCTCACGAATGTCCAAGAATCCCTGGATGATCTCCTTCAGCTCCCTCAGGCTCGCGAATCTTTGTGCCCCAACCATGATTTGATAGAAAAGTTTCTAGACGACTTTCTGAGCTTGGTCGATGTTTATGGGATTTTCCAAACATTGCTTTTAACGTTAAAACAAGAGCATTTGGCGGCACAGGTGGCTGTAAGAAAAAGAGATGATTCTAAGACAGCTTTATACTTCAAAAATTTGAAAAAAGTTGCTAAAGATTTCGGCCAGCTCGAGTCCTCCGTCCAGTCCATTGCCGGTCGACAATTAGTCATATTATCCCCACCAGCGCCAGCAGCTGCTGAGGAAGATGCTGAGATTGCTCGAGTTCTCAGGGACGCCATCCAGGTTACGGCTTCCATTTCGGTTGTACTTTTCAATGGGCTCTCGGTTTCCTTGGCATTTCGGAAACCATCATGTTTAGGCTTGATCAGCTTGGTGAAGAGTAGCAAAAAAATAGCTATCGTTAAAGGCGGCATTCAAGAATTTCAACAAGTTAGTTTTCAGAACTTATGGGGATTGCAAAGAAAGGGTGAAGAGGAGTTGAAATTGACGTTAAAGATAATGCATGAATTGGAGGATTGTATCCGTGGGATTGGAGCGGTGGGGAGAGAGTGTTTAGGAGTTTAATCAGCACCAGGGTTTCACTCCTCAACGTTGTCACACACTAATATTAGTTAAGTCGAACGCTTGAATATATTTCAAGAAGCAGCCATTCTTGCATTAGAAATTAAGGTGCAATAGTACATAGTACTAATTAACTTGTTCTGTTTATATCTTTTTTTCTCCCTTTCTGTTTCTGTCAAAAATTGTCTTATGTTAACTCCACCTAGAAAGATTAGGAAGTTCTGACCAAATCGTGTCCATGCCGTGGCACATCTACGTGTACAATAGTGATGAATACGGTAAACTAATCAAAAAATGACTTGTCAAAATGAAATCTTTCAGTTTTTCTTCGTCCTGGCTGAGAAACCATCTGTGACCTCCTTTACACTACTGGTACAGGTTGGTTCTACCTCCACCTCCTCTCCTATTATTGGCAAACTTGACAAATTGAAAGCGACAAAAACTTGGGTAGATCTAATCTTAAACATCTTATTATCCAAAATTTTATCACACCTTTAATTCTTGAGTTGACGAGATGGTGTAATAAAATTTGAATCACATGATCTACAATGGACCACGTCTATCCAAGTGTTTGCTATTGAAAGCGGCTACGGGACATCATGTATAGTACACTTTACCTTATTGTGTCATGGATGCATGTCAAAAAATTAAAAATTTTCAGATTCCATATTTTTGGAGAACTAGCAGATAAAGATTGATACATTTTCACCTGAAAAGATGATGCAAATCCATAACAAGTACTAGCATATGGCCAACTATCGACCTCGGAATGGCGAAAATCTGTTAATTGGGAGTAACCAATCACCTGCAGTTTGCATCATATGAACCATTTTTGTTTGTAATCATTACGGTGTATTCCATTCATCCACTAATGCAATTCTTCTTCTTTTTTTTGTTGGGTTTTGTTTTAAGAACAATGAAATGGTCCTTTTTATTTATCAATAATTGTCAAAATACATAAATTCTTGATTTATGGCAGAACCTGTAGGCTTATGTATAAAATAGTGGGCATGACAATTGACACATCATTTTCAATGAAAACCTCTTCTTGATTTTCTACATTTTGATCCTGTTAGTATTCCATCGTTTCATCCCTCATGCTGTTAACATCTAATAAACATACAGTCTGGATCAATTGGTATAAGAAATCTGGTTCGGTTAGTGCCAGTACCTTAGCGTTGTAGATGCAAGGCTAATTTTCATCCAGTAATAGTAGTATTGCCAAATTATATTCAGAAGAAGAAAACAAGAAGAGGCTGTAAAAAGGATCTTAGCCAAATGTTTAACGGTGTCAACAATAATCGACAATCCAGCATCACCATGCACGCATTGAGACATGCAGCCTGACGTATGGAACTGGATCCGTCAGAAGTCAGAAGAGAGGCAAGGCGACAACCAAAATAATTGTAAACAAAAAAAAAAAAAACAAAAGTTTACTAATTAAATTGTGCATGAGCGTTTGGATTAGCATATCGAGGCAACAAAGCGACGTACGTGCACATGATTGGCTGTGGTTCTCCATAATTGTACACTCGATTGATGCTCATTATGAGAACGTACTCTTTAAATAAATATGTATTACAGGCTGATTGAACCCTCCTGGTGTTTCTGCTAGAAATTTCAATAATGATAATGATTTTATGTAATCATTTCCTTCATAATTCATAAAAAGGTCCTTTCATCATAACACATTCTTTTCAAGGGACCAAAGATGAATTGGCATTGCCTTAAATCTGCCCCGCTAATACAACTTGCATTTGTTTATCAGATTTGTCAAGGCTGACCATGTTCAGTTTTCGCCTCTCATGAGCAACTCGGTTGGTCTCAGCAAGCCTCCTTAGGAGCTGGTGTCCAGTGCCCGCAAGGGTTCGAGTCCCGTGATTATCGTGTTCGGGGGGATGGGGCCTCTCCTCCCGGGCTAGAGTGGGATTAGTCGGACCGCTAAGAATTGACCGAACACCCACTTCATCAGCAAAAAAAAAAAAAAAAAAAGACCATGTTCAGTTTTCTCATCATGGTTTTTATCATAATATGATGTTTATAGTAGTATCTCCCTAAAAACTGTTGGCTCAGTTATAAAGTTGGATTACAGCTGGGAATAAATATTTGATTGGTCTATATATAAGTCGAAGAATGTCCTATCTTTTGATTTCTTCCCTGGAGGACCAAAATTGTGAAGTCTGTCATCAAGACAGCCCTCATCCTGCCCACTAGAAAGTACAGGTTGCTTCTCTTCTCACGCACACCAATATCAGGGTTGACTAACGATTTTTATTGCATCTAATCACGTTTTTTATTTCATAAATATCCAATTCTAAAAAAAATTTTCAAATGATCTCCAATCCAAACAAACCCGATCTATAGAACTTAAATAATACTTTCATAGTTTAATTTTGCACCAATATTTTTTCCATTATCACGTGAGAGGAGTGAGTGATTTTTCTTTATTTAAAAAATTTTGTAATTATGGGATAAAATTTAACAAGATCTATATCCATAAATATACAATAATTTTTGTATTATGTTAAGAATATTCATTTTTAAACACTATATTTGTCTTGAATGGTATAAAATATTAGGATTGACTAATGGTTTTAGAAACAAATAGACAAATTAATAGAAAAATAATATTAGAGGATAAAGTGCAAAATAACTATACTTTAATGAGATTTATTGTAATTAATCCTTAGGTATTAATATCTTTTTGACATTTTTGTTACGCAACGTAAAACTGGTTAAACCTTAGAAAAGTTTTTGTGATTAATCCATTTTTAAATGGGGTACGTAGGTGGGACCATGTCAGCGGGGACCGAGCATTTTTGGTAGTCGCGGAATTTTGCCTCAAATTGGGGGTTGGTTGACAACTGACAATGGACAAGTCAGCCCTCCTCATCCGCTGTGTCGCGTAGCAGATCCCAACAACTGTACACGGGAAGTGGAGAGGGGGGAAGGGAGAGCATCAGCCGCACTACACAGCACCCAAAAAGACGAGCTGGATCTCACGTGGCTCATCTATCTCTTCACTCTTCTCTTTTTTTTTTTTTTTTTTTTTTTTAAATGCGATAATTTTAGAAACCTCTCCTAGATTCTAACGCTTTCACTGTCACTTTCTCAAGATTTTTAAAATATTATTAACCTCCCTCGCACCAATAATTTTGTAACAATTTATTCTAATTCAAAAAAAATAATAAATAAAAATAATATTAGTGGTCAGATGATGGTTGAATTTTGAAACGAAAAATATATCGATCTAATTTATTATTTCACTTATGGGACAGTTATTTCACGTGATTAATTAAAAAAATCATCCTCGGCAACCAAAATGCAGTAGTAACTTTCGAGATTTAACAAAACAAATTTTGTTATTACCTTAGGTTTTTTGTTATCACTACAATAATAAGAAGAAACAATGGAGCCAAAGTCTCTCATGTCCAATTCCTTTTAATCGTCAAATACATCATTTCAAAAAAAAAAAAACTAGCCTAATATTGCAGCCTTTTTTTTAAAATGCCATTATTACTTTTTTTACATAATCAAATTATGGTTAATTTAGTTTATAAACAGTTCAAGAACAAGTTTATAAACAACTCCATTATTTTTCATATTTAAATCCTATTATTTATCTATCAGGTACATCACATATCATTCTTTTTATTTGTCAAGTACATTACTAGAAAAAAAGTGCACCTACTACATTTTTTTTTTTTAAATAGCTATGGTCAATTTAATTAGTAAATGTTTTAATTGTTTCTCTCCACGAATGTGTGTAAGATATCCTAAGTTGTGAGGATGATGGAGTCATTTTATCATTAATGATGTGAGCATTGAGTGCCAAATTATCTTGATTTTTTTAAAAAAAATTTATTTATATGCTCGTGCCTCCTCTATGCCCTGTCCCGCCCAGCCCAGATTTCCATCCTTATTCCAACTTTTCGCGGCGCCGTGCGGGCTATTCTTCTACGGCTCGTCACTTTCCTTTAGCCATTTTAATTCAATTGATAAAAACATAAATAGTAGAACATGGGAACGGGGGTATTATGGTAAATTGGTTGGCCGGATAAAAAGGCCTAGCTCTAAGCGGTAAGAACTTGAGTGAACCGGTCCACCACCCACACGTAGACCTAGAGTTATGAGATTTGCCACGTCATCTACACAAAAATATATTTTGGAGAAAGCAGCATCTGCAAGGAATATGAATAGCCATTAGGGGTTCAAAAACTCATTTTCCTTTCCAACCCCAAAATCTGCATTTTTTCCTGAATAGCCGGAGAAACTTGTCCCTTAGTTCCATTAAAACCACCAAACTACAGCCACCGCCTTTGTGTTCCCCGGTGTCTTCTTTCTTTATCGTAGCACCTACGATTAGGATTTCGAATTGTTTTTAAGCCATATAAGTTTTGAGAAAAACCCACTTGTACACCAATATTATTAAAACAAATAAATCAAAAGAAAAAGAAAGTATCAAAGATTAGGGGTTTAGAATTTTTTTCTCTTCTTTTTGGAGATGATACAAAGCGAGGTGGAATTTGTTGAAGAAATGTTTGCACTGGAAAATTGCGTTGAGACTCGGATTTTGATTTCTACATATATGAGAAATGAAGGGGGGGGGAAAAAACCAAGAATAGAGAGATTGGTGAGAAAGGTTAACCACAATTAAGTCAATTGAATATTTATTATGTGGCAAATTGTGTACGAATCGGTCTACAAAAGCGGCTGTAGACGAGCCCACACAAGTTTTGCCTTTACAAATGCAATGATGTAAAAGTAGCCCTTAAACATCATTTTGTAATGACAAAAATACCCACTATAATTTCCCGCTTTCAATTTACAAGGACAAGCCAAGAAAACAGGACACGTTTAGTATGAACTATGAAGTAGTACTAGTATGAATGGACAGAGGAGAGAATGGCGAAAAAGACGGAGAGACTTTGTCTGCTGCAGAAAGTGGCAGAAAGCCTAACAAAAGGTAAGAGGTACAAGAGAGAAAAGAAAAAACGGCAAACGGACAGCGATAGCTCCTCGTGTACACGTACACACTAAAGTTTCATCATCATATCATCATCATCATCATCATCAACCTCCTCATCATCATCATCATCATCATCGTGGCTTGGTATCTGGAAATCACCCCACCATAACTGATAACCCCAGCCCTTTATCTAAATCTTCAAACCTTGCCACTCTAAGCCCTCTGTCGCACGCACGCACTGCCTTGTCACTTTGTTGTTCTGTTCATCTATTCACACAAACACACACTTAAAAATTACAGTACTTACTAGTAGCAGTCACAAAACGCAAACTTTTAGTACCTTAAAACACGATGATGGTTTGACTGTTTTAATACAACTCCCTTCTACTCTTATAGTACTACTACTATTAGCTGTATTTGTAGTATTTTTTTTATAAACTGATGTGCATATATTCATTTCTTTAATAAATTCCGAAACAAAAATAATCCTCATTTTTATATGTGATGCCACTGCTTACTCTTTTTTCTACCTAGTATAAAGCTTAGCAGTTACTGACATATTACTGCTTCCTGGGTTAAAAGCGGATTGAAAAAGAGGAATCCCCTATTTTTGTTTTGGGAGTTTTTTTTTTTTTTTTTTTGTCCTTTTTGTTTTTTTATAGTTAGTCGAGTCAAACTCATCAACTGAGTTATGGCTGTTGCCAATCGTTTCTCCCGATGGCTTCCGTCGAGACAAGGATCAACACCACTACGGTGGAGCTGGCGGCGGCCAACCCCACCATCCTCGTTCTTCAAATGGAACCGAAGGAGGTGGCGCACAAGGCTTCTCGGAGTTCTCCCTAGCTGAGCTTAAAGCTGCCAATAACTTCAGCTCCGATTTCATTGTCTCCGAGAGCGGAGAAGGCTCCCAATGTGTCTACAGAGGCCGCTTACAGAATCGCCGCTGGATCGCTGTTAAGAAATTTACTAAAATGGCCTGGCCCGACCCTAAACAGTTTGCAGTACTCTCTCTTCCTCCCTCCTTCCTTGTTAAGTAATTAAAGATTTAATCTTTTGTGCAATTGTTTTGGGATTCTTAGTGGTTTTATTTGGGATTCAAAAAAGGAACCGATGGAGAATTTTTTTTTAAAAAAGGAACAAATTTTGATGTCTATTTTTGTTTTTTTTTTTTTTTAATAGGAGGAGGCTAAAGGTGTTGGGAAATTGAGGCATAAGAGGCTGGCGAATTTGATAGGCTACTGCAGCGACGGAGATGAGAGGCTACTTGTAGCTGAATTTATGCCTAATGATACCCTTGCCAAGCATCTTTTTCATTGTATGTGTTTCGATTTTTATGCATATGCTTATCTCCTGTTGCAACTTTTGGAGAAGTTAACCTTATTAGTTCAGCTGTTGTTAGTCTTACCAAATCCTGTTTCTATCATACGAATATCCCTTGGTTCATTGGGTTGTATCTATTTCAAAAACAATGTGTTTTTCATTAGTTTGAATTAATGTTTTTGGTTTCGGTGCTTTATTATCTGGGGTTTCTGAGGATAGGTTCAAAGTGGTGCTGCCTCTTGTCGGTGCACGAGTTCTTTTTTGTGTCGTGCATAAGTTCTGTTTTAAGAGTTTTCTAATCAAAGGGGTTTATTGAAATGAATGACAGGGGTTTATTGAATATGGTAGAAGTATGAGGTCTATTATTATCCAAAAGACAGGATTTTTAATGAGAGAAGCCACATGAAAGAGAAGAGCTCTGGATGACTTGTTTTTGTTTCTAAATTGTTTGCAATATAAGCATATTTCTGGAACATGATTTTCATTTCAAATGGATGAAGGCATATTTTGGAGATTATGTTACCACTTTAAGATCAAATGTGGATGTATCAAAGGAATTGTTGCAAATTAAGTCAGCATTAATTTATTCATGTATTCGTTGTGAGGGACAAGTGAATGTCAAAAAGTCCTTTGATATTTCCGAGCACAACTATTTGAGTACTAAATCCACCCTTTCCCCCTTTTCATGCTCTTCTGTTCCTCCTGGCTGTGGCTTAGCACTTCTTTGTTTTGATTTCTAAGTTCCAGCTAGTAAGATACTTTGTATTGTGTTCTTTCCTTTAGGAACTATATCAATGTAACTGCAAAACACGTGTTGATATCTGATGGTTTCTTCTAGCTTGTTGGAGCTGATAAGGAGTAATATAATGTTTCTTATTGCATCATTTCCTATGGTTACTTTTTAACTTCCTTCTCAGGGGAGAACCAGACTCTTGAGTGGGCCATGCGTTTAAGAGTAGCTTTGTATATTGCCGAGGCTCTGGATTATTGCAGTACAGAAGGTCGTCCACTGTACCATGATTTGAACGCATATAGGGTTCTCTTTGATGAGGTGTCGTTATGAATCTTTTGACTTTATTCCCTGCTCATGTAGAAATATGTTTTATTGTTACATGTGACCATCATTATTCAATTGCAAACTTTTGCCATATTGGCCCTTAGCAGTACTCCTGCAGATGCTCTAGATTTTAATTCGAGAAATGCATTAATGTGGCGGTTGTCTTTGGCAGAATGGTGATCCACGGCTTTCTTGTTTTGGATTAATGAAAAACAGCCGGATGGTAAAAGTTATAGCACAAATCTAGCATACACGCCTCCTGAGTATTTGAGAAATGGTGAGTACTTTATCCTTTCTGTTATTTGTCTTATAATTGGAAATGAGAAATAGCTAATGCCGCACCCTTTTAGTGAAATGACATGCTAAAAAAATGCTTTGTATTCTAAGTAGACTCTTACTTTTTAGTTTGGAAAGTAAATTGATTAAAGGAGTAGTTAATTAATTATCTCTCTGAGCTTCTTGATATGGCTTCTTGATGGCCAATGAAATTAAAACTAAGTTGGAATTTGTCCCTCATTTGCTCAAGAATCAGCACCAATTTTTTTGTCTATGTAAATTGGGTGGGGCTGGTTGTTAAATGCCGGAAACAGGGATTGTATAAGTGTCATATTACCATTTTCCAGCAAAGAAATTACTGTACAAGTTTTGGTGTTTTTGACAATGATTCAGTAGCATGACATGCTGTTTGTCTTTTAGAGAATTAGCAGTTAGTGCGCATTATGACATATTCTTTAGCTGAGCAAGTGTCTTTGTAGATCTGAATGCATGTCTGGTTTCTTTGTTGTTTTCATATTTTGAGGTCAGTATTGACTTGATTTTGGAGATATTGTTGACTATTCACAAACTTATGTTTTATGTAGGAAGGGTCACTCAAGAAAGTGTTGTTTTCAGCTTTGGAACTGTCCTTCTAGATCTTCTAAGCGGGAAGCATATCCCTCCTAGTCATGTAAGTTGTTTGTAGCTTATAACAAAATACTGTCTCATCTTCCTGGTGTTCCTTCTGAGTTTCGCGGAATTTTATTCCAAAATTCCTTTCTCTACATACATTATACTGTAGCATAAATGTATCATATATGTACGTATGTGTGCACACACACATATGTATCATATTCATACTGGAATGAAGGCATTCACTTGCTACTTGGGCAGTTGGACGTGCTGAGTAGATTTTAGATGCATCCTTAATAAGTGCATATCTGCTCAAAGAATGTGCACAGTGTGTCAAGAAATGATAAAATTAGACTTGTGAAGTGACTGATTACGTGGCTAACTCATTTTTCATGGTTGTGTGAAACTTCTTTTAGCCTTCTGCTTCCAGTTCTGCTTTGTGCTTTCATTCTTTGAATAGGATATGTATACATCCACTTTGTTAGTATTTTTCTAGACTGCCTCATAGTGTTAGATAGCTAGCTAAGGAATGACCAGAACAGACTCATTTATATCAAAGTTCAACATCATGAAAAAAGCGTTTGTGAATTGTCTCCGTCTTCGTCCCAAAAGAAAATAAATCATGTTTCACGTAAAGTTTTGATGGTTTTAATGCATCTGATGTTTGAGGTGAACAAGAATCACCACCTCAAAGTTAATGTTGTGCTTGGTGAAAATATCGACCTGTAATTGGCTGAGTGCCTTGAGTCTTTTGGTTATGCTTTTCCTAGAGAAATTGTTTTACGGTTTATGGATGCCATGATTGATCAGGCACTAGATATGATACGAGGCAAAAACATACTTCTCTTGATGGATTCACATTTGGAGGGAAACTTCTCAACTGAAGAGGCAACTGTGGTTTTTTATCTTGCTTCTCAATGCTTGCAATATGAACCAAGGGATCGGCCAAACACCAAAGATCTTGTCTCAACACTTGCTCCCTTGCAAAATAAATCTGATGTAAGTTGAACTTTTTAAAGTTTTTAAAGTTTGCTTATGTACTATGTAAGTTAATGATATTTGATTCCTTGATGAGCTATTTCTGTTGTTATTTATAATCTGACTTTAAAAGGTCATATTGAATGAGTAATTGGGCCTTGTTATCTTATGTTTCCTTTTGTGTTCTTAGTTTGAACTGAAGAATTTAAGTTTCCAAATGTGTTTATGGTATATCCACTGCTTATGTAATGTGCCTCTTAAGCATTAAAGTTTGGTTATTTTGGGAGCTGGAGTATGGTTATTTGATTTACTCCAAGCTATATGTGTATAATCATGTACTTCTCATTAGGAGCTCTTTCAAGAGTCTCCAAAATTCCAGCACTTCAATATTCTACTAAGAACACAGTATCCTAGATGTAGTTATGCTACTTTACTGGTTGTTATTCCACTTTGCACTTATAAATTATAAATTTTGCACAGGTGCCATCACATGTGATGCTTGGAATTCCCAAGCATGATGAAACACCAGCAACTCCACAGCACCCTCTTTCACCAATGGGCGATGCCTGTTCGCGTATGGATCTCACAGCTATCCATCAAATTTTGGTAGCAACACACTATAAAGACGATGAGGGTACCAATGAGGTAATTTATCTGCGCTATAAGATGCAATAGTATCTTGCCTAAGACATATATATTCTAAGGGAATCAGTGTCAAATCTGCAGTTATCTTTCCAAGAATGGACTCAGCAAATGAGAGATATGTTGGAGGCAAGGAAACGTGGGGACTTGGCATTCCGCGACAAAGATTTTAGGTCTGCGATAGATTGTTATTCTCAGGTAATATTATACTATTTGCTTTTGTTCTGGTGGCAAAAGAGTTCAGTGTTTGGCTTTGGCCATTGTATGCTGGCTCTGCATCGTTGATTGCCTAGGAGTTAAAAATTGTTGACTGTTTCTGACAGAGATGCCATAATCTTTCACTTTGGGATCATATTATTTCTCTGTCTGAAAGTATGCTTACGAATTAGTAGGTTCTTGTTAAAAATTGCGAAATAATTTACATTTTTTCCCCTTCCCCTGGATGGTCTTGCAATATTAGAATGGAAGAGCACCTGGGTTTTCTTTTTCCAGATGCTCTGCTTGATAATTATATAAGATTGAGGATTCATTATGGCTAACTACAATCAAACCATGATAACTCGGCCATACACCACACTGTTTTCCTGAGTATCAAGTACTTTTCTCTCATTAAAGGAAATATACGGGCCAGAGAAATTAGCAAGTAGTTCCTTGTTGGTACAGTGGTCACATCTGTTTTTTCTGGTTTTATATGCAGTTCGTAGATGTCGGCACCATGGTCTCCCCGACCGTCTATGCACGACGAGCCTTTGCTATCTTATGTGCGATCAACCTGACGCAGCTCTTCGAGATGCAATGCAAGCGCAATGTGTCTACCCAGATTGGTCTACAGCATTCTACATGCAGGCAGTTGCCCTTGCCAAGCTCGACATGCACAAGGATGCGGCTGATATGTTGAATGAGGCTGCTATGCTGGAGGAAAAGAAGCAACGGGGTGGGAGAGGATAATTGTGCTTTCGTGTAATATTCTTTTATAGCCATGATTCATTCAATTGTGTTGTTGTAACGATTGACAGTTGCAATGTATCATTTGGTTTGAGGTGTTTGCCATATAAAGATGTACAATAGAGGGGGAGAGACACTTAAAATTGCGGTATATGCTCAAAAAAATTTTAGTCAGAGTAATTGATAATTTCTCAATGTGTATTGTAATACAACAGAGCTTGGGCTTCAGAGTTAAATTATGCAACGTATAGTTCAGCCTTGCCATCAATGAATAGGCTCAGGAACTCTTCTCCATCAACTGTTTCTTTTTCTATGAGCAGTTGAGCGAGCTTGTGCAGAATGTCAATGTGTGTGGTCATTATTTTTTGGCCCTGGAATATGCCTTCTCTACGAGCTCTCTAACTTCTGAATCCACCACATCGGCAGTAGCCATAGAGTAGTCTTTCTGGGAAGACATCTGCAATTTAAACAAAACGAGGTTGCCAATCAAAATTCTTTTATTACAAAAACAGTCGGACATATCTAATTTTGAAGGAAACAAGCACCTGCTGACCAAGGAAGGGATTGCCACCAGGTCCACCTATTGCAACTTGTCCAATCTTTTTGCTGAAACCAAATCTTTCAACCATCTGTCTTGCCACCCGTGAAACTTGCATGAAGTCATTTGACGCACCGTTGTGACATTTTCGGTTCCAAAGATAACCTCTTCAGCGACCCTGCATGATGGAGGCGAGAATGAAATCAATAACGCCCTCAGGCTGGGCTGAGTCATGGACATGAAAAAACACTAAATAGCAATTAGGTGCGAAAACCCCTTTTCTATTTTTATTTAGAGAAATGCATGTGGTAAATTCCTAGAAAAGAAGAAGCAAGGTTCCTTATCCACAAGAATATCAACACAAGCAAAGGATTAGATATGATGTTATTTGTGGCTTTCTTGTATGCATATGTCATAAGCTATCCTCATTTTCCAAATGAGGAATATACGAGCAATGCAGATGCATTGGATCCTTTTACTTATAATTCACAAACAAGTTTCCTTCCAGATAAATCAGTTTAAGGAAGCGGGCAGCATAGCACGCTAACCTTCCACCAAGGGCAACTGCCATCTGATTCTCCAGGTAGCTTCTGCTGTATAGTCCTGACTCTAGCCTCTCTTCACTTGGAGCAAAAAATGTAAGACCACCAGCTTGGCCACGAGGAATGATTGAAATTTTGGCAACAGGGTCATACTCTGGCATTAGTGCACCAACTAAAGCATGGCCAGCCTCTGTAAAGCAGATAGACCATATGCATTACATCAATGTGATGACTAATTCACAATTGAAAGATCAGCAATAGACAGCAAAGTATGCGTCTATACCATGATAAGCAACCAGCTTCTTCTTCTCATCTGAGACAACAGCATTTTTCTTCTCTGGGCCAGCAATTATTCTCTCCAAAGCATCAGAAATCTCATCCTTGCTGATTTCCTTGAGGTCACGCCTGGCAGCAAGAATGGCTGCTTCATTCATCAAATTCTGCAAATCAGCACCAGTGAATCCTGGTGTTCTTCTGGAATCTTTTCGAAGTCCACATCCTTGGCAAGAGCCTTTCCTCTGGAATGCACCTGCAACACAAGACATGTTAATGGTACAATTAGGAATGCTATGAAACAATTAGTCGTTGGCGGACATTACAGGAACCCATTAGATTTTTATTGAAAGAGTTTGAGAATCAACTTAGGACATGAACAGTAACAACACTCTCTCTGTCACATAATCACTAAAGTTGCACAAGTATCCAGAACACCAAGTAGGCGGATCAAATTCAGAAGATATTTCTCCCTGATAATGCATTTACAAATAATGTATTTGACAAACTTGGGCAGATTCCATTATGGTACAGCAAAATATTACGTTGTAACACAATCTACTTGTAAAAAGAACCCAGACTATGTTTCTTAAAGATGCGTGTTTCAAAATAGAGTGCATTTGCATCTGTCACTTTTAGATTCCAACCATCTCTTGCTTCCGAATTAAAGCCTATGCTCAACCACACACGGTCTATGTCCATGCTACTATTATAATGACTTCAATGACATTGCTGCTAAAATAACAGAATGAAAACGTGTAGATTACTAGAAAGGGAGCTGACCTGAAGAATCTTGACTCTGCCAGCGACATCAGGTCTGTCCACTGTAACCTGGCGATCAAACCTTCCAGGCCTCAATAATGCAGAGTCAAGAACATCCGGCCTGTTAGTTGCTGCTAAAACTATAACACCCGAGTTCCCTGAAAACCCATCCATTTCAGTCAACAGCTGATTAATGGTCTGTTCTCTCTCATCATTTCCCCACCAAGCCCTGCTCCTCTCTGCCTTCCAACAGCATCAATCTCATCAATAAACACAATGCAAGGAGCCTTAGACTTGGCTTTCTCAAACAAATCCCTCACTCTGGAAGCTCCAACACCCACAAACAACTCCACGAATTCAGAAGCAGCACAGGAAAAGAACGGCACGCCAGCCTCGCCAGCAACAGCTCTAGCCAAAAGAGTCTTCCCTGTACCAGGTGGTCCAACCAAAAGACACCCTTTGGGAATCTTAGCACCTAGAGCAGTGTACTTATCAGGATTTTTCAAGAAATCAACTACTTCTTGCAACTCCAGTTTTGCCTGATCAGCTCCAGCAACATCAGCAAAGGTCACACCCGTCTCAGGAACCTCCTGAAACTTTGACTTGGACCTGCCGAAATCCATAGGCCCGCCGAGACCACCAGGCCCACCGGGTCCTCCCTGAGCCCGCCGGAAAAGGAAGAACAAGCCAGCAAAAGCGAGAAATGGGAAAATCAAATTCCCAATAAAATTAAACAGACCATTGCCAGAATCACCCTCAGAAACTGAAATGTCAACTCCGTTCATTGCCAAAATGTCAATCAAGTCGGGGTCATTAGGCACAATTACGGTAGCTCTGCGGCCATCCACGGCGGTGAGCTGAAGGGCACTACCGTCTTTGCTGAACCTTACCCTCTCCACTTTACCCTTCTTGACAGCATTCAAGAATTCACTGTACCGCCACTGGGACCCCTCTGGGAGGTCAGTGGAGGGCTGAGCTTGGGGCTTTGGGGCATTCAAGATCAGATTTTGGGAAAAGGGAGATGGGTTTGAAGGACTGGGTTGTGGGGCTTCGGCTTGAATTACCGGAGGCGGAGTTGGCGGGGCAGTGTTATCCACGGCTAAAGCTCGTGGGTTGATTGAGGAAAATAGTAGAGCAGCTAGTGTGGCTTTTGATGGAATATCCTTCAAGGATTGTGAAATACTATTGGATTTTTTCCCTCCAAGGATTGATTGGGGAACTAGAAATTTTCTGGGCAAAGATTTAGTTGTTTTTGGGGTCGGAGGTGAGAGGAAGATTTGAGTACCCAAGAAGTTGGAGGCTGTGGAAGAAGCCATAGGGGAAGTTCAATTGGTTGAATCAGACGCAGTTGAGGCTTACTACTCTTTATGCTGGCAGTTTTCAGTGTAAAGTTCGAGTCTTTCTTTTTGTGAGCTTGGGGAGTTTCACGTTGGAGCTGCGAAAGATAAAAGTGATTGAATCTCAACTACTATATCGGGGACTTTTCAGGGGAGGGAGTGAATATATATATCTGTCCATGAGAGTTTGAGAAAGGGTATTAAGAAAATTTGTGAAACAAGTCTGGACGATCAAAGTTGGGTTTTTGGTTCAACATAAGCCATATGTTTGGGAGTAGCTTGGATTGCTTCTACGTGTTTTCAATGCTAACCAGAAATGGGAGCTTTGATTTTTGATTTTTGATTTTTCGTTTCTTCTTGCCCCACGAACAGCAAAATGAAGTATAAACCGGTAGTGTTGTTAGGCCAGGCCGAACCGGCCAATCCGGTTATGAACCAATTTTTTTGATAAAAAATCAGTCAAAATCGATTAAATCGGTGACCCGATTCTCAATCTTTTCCTTTTTCTTTTCTCCCAAACATAATTTGAGTTCTCTAAATTATAACACATTCGTTTATTAATAAGAATTAAAAAAGCCACCCATATAGTGTAAGTATTAAAATCACTCGCTTTCTTGAATGATCTCCAAATCAAGATATTTTCATCCTTGTGATCTTATCAATTTAGCATTAGTTATTCCAACTTGCATTAATTTGTTTTAATTTAGTTTTTCAAGTGGTTTTTGGTGAATGAACATATTTTAGCCATGAACTTACATTTTTATGTATAATTATTAGGTGTATATTTGATTGTAAATCTAATATTTTTGGAACATTTTCTATTATTAGTCAAATATAGCCAATAACTTAATTTCAATATTTCTAAAACTTATAAAATATAAAATAATTATGACATTATGCTAATATCAGCGAATTTTTTAGAACGGTTTAACCAATTTAACCAGTTAATCCCTGACCCAATAATTTAATCGAGTCGTTATCCAGTTCGAATTTAATAACATAATTGTTAAAACGGGATATGTAAAGAATATCCATGTTGACCACTTTGACCTCACTAATATTATATAGATTAAAAATGGCCATTGAATTAGTGTATTTTTTTCACTATCACGCCAGAGGGATTTGATCTTGATGTTGAGGCGGAGACATTGAGCTCGAGTGCTGGGGAATAGAAGGCGTACAAATTATGCCAAATAAGATAATTCAAGACTTCAAGCAATCAAGGACTATTTATCTTTCAATTTGCTGCCTAAACAGTAAACACGTTAGTTTTCCAATTGGTGTTTAAGGTGGACAAGAAATAGATTTAGTATATCATCTTATAAATACATATGGTTGTTATATTTTGTACGGATTTTCATTTACAATCATTTCACAAGGAAAGTTATTACCCATTAATTTTTTTTAAAAAAGCTGAAATAAATAAAAATATATTTAATTATAATTTCTTAATTTCTATATTGTGTTTAAATTCAAATATTATGCACAGCCTGAAACGTGGACAAATCGAATTGGGACAAAGTTTGTTATCTACAGAAACTAGTATAAAAACAACATAATTTTTTTTTTCGTGACATGAACTATAAACTTATCATCAAAATATTTTGGTTTATTATTATTTCTTTCACAAGGTTCAAGTTAATTGGGTAGTTGCAATGGTTAAGGATATTTACGAGTGGTTTTGTGGGTAAAATATGATGAGGTTTTTAAGGGTAAAAAAATTGGAGGTTTAGAAAATGATTT